TCTCACCATCTGAACTATCACCCATGATATCTGCATTCACGGTACAGCTGTTGTTCAACCACACAAATCTGTTCTCTTCTCGTACTCCACCTCCTTTCCAACAAACTTTCTTTCTCTGGTCTCATCGCACACGGATGACGTCCTCCTCCTCCCCTGTCGGATCAGATCCTCTCCCTGGGCCCTGAACTCCGAGGCGTCCTGCTTTTTATCTGCAGCTCTCCCTCTGCCGATTGGCCAGCCTGCAGCTGGTGCCATCCACAGAGCAGCCCGACTGGCCCCCACAGGTGGAATCCAATCGCCTGATTGACCTGTTGGGAATATGTGCGAGAGTACTGAGAGAGAGAGATAAAGAGAAGGGCAGGAGGGGAGAAAACACTACACGTAACAATTATATTTAGGACGCCACCCAATTTTGGAGAAATAGTGAACTTCAAATTTTTGTAATCAATACATTTTAATCTCAGGGTTGCTACAGAGTTCTTGTCATGTTGTACAGGTACCTATTATTTCATATACACACAAATCAAATGAACAAGTTCTTTATAAATTAAATGTTTATTGGACTACCTACGTAACTAAACTACTACAACAGAAAATAAATGAATAAACGATAAAATAAACAAAATGAATGTAATGAACAAATAATATGATGAAGAGTACAATGAATAACAATGAATCAGAAATGAATTAAAAGGATTGCATGTAACCAGGTAGAATCAGTGACCAATATAATTGATTGATGTCTATCAATTAAATCCGTCAATTGACATTTTTACATTAAATTTAATTCAAAAGATTTATGTACCGTTCAGCAGTTCGAGAGCACCAGAGACGATTGTGAAGCAATTTTATACAAGTTCTAATTTAACTTAATTTAGATCTTAAGGTATAAAGTTTATTGATCTGTTTTATAAATATTTCAATCTAAATTACTTTATTATCTGAAATCTATTTATTTGGCCAAGAGATATTGAACTCATTTACATCTGGAGATTGTTTTGCTTTCACCTGACATTTCCAACGGGCAGATGGGCGGTTAAGCTGATTGGAGTAGCGGCTGTTCCTCTGTGGGCATCTCTGCATCTTGGATCTCGTTGGTTAATAATAGTTCGTTTGAATCGCATTCTTCCATCTCTCTCAGATCGTTGTATCCCCCCCCCTCTTTGTAGCAGCAAGGGTTATTTTGAGCTTTTGCCAGTTTCAAAATGTATTTAATCTTAAAGTCTTTTCTTTTTTCTTTCAATAGTTGCTGGAATACATCTTCAGCAGGTTGGACTGCAGGAAATACACCAGAAGATTGGCCAGATTAGCCACATCTGTAGACTCGTCTACTTGCAGAGAGTAAAACTCACTCTTCTTCACACAACCGACTAATGTAGCCAGGATGTCTTCGGACAAAGCATCGATGCGGCGCGACACAGTGTTTAACCCGGTCGGGATGTAGAAGGGGATGAGTGGCCTAAAAAGTTTGGGAACCGCTGGTCTAAAGAATGATTTAGCACTGTGAGATATTGTATAAGAGAGCATCATTTTAAAGTTGTCAAATGATTGTTGTTCAGTGTTGTTGCACCCACACTTAATGCTGATTTGGAGTTTATAATTGACAATAAGAATTCCTTGCATGAAGACATTCTATTGCCGTGACTTTTATTTTGAAATACTCTTACTTCCTGGTATGCTTTGCGTCTCTCTTCAAAGGCAAAAACGAATCGGCTCGTTAGTTTGGTTCTCTCAATTTTTTCGTAGAGAAAAACGGCTGTGCTTACTCTTTATTTGGGGGGGTGAAAACCAAAAACGGAAAATGTTTAATTTTTTGGTTCAAATGACAAAACAAACGTTCAAATACGCCAACCCGACAATAATTTGGTAACAAACTATAGCAATATAGTCTGGCATATCAACATAATGACAATTGAATGACTAGTCAATTCTCCTGAGACAGGAAGAGATCAAGATACAATTTCTTCAGCATTATTCAACATTTCACCATCGGACACCTCAAAAGCTTTGATAAATATCCTCATGTTCTCCATAAATGTCCACAGTTAGTTCATCCAATGGCTCGGATGCATTTTCATAGTCGGCTTCATCGTCACTGGTTTCTTCTTCTTCCTCATGACCTTCGTTACTCTCTGGCTCCTCATAATCATCACTCTCCTCTTCTTCCACTCTCCCAGCTTCCTCTTTGAGTTTCTTCTTGGTGTCCGCTGGATTAATGTTCTGGTAGACATCATCCTCGTCCTCATACTTGTTATTTTCATAATCGTTGCTGAATCTGACAGCCACTGCAACACAAGCACAAACACAAACATCAGGACAAAATGTCTCATGAATATCAGAGGGAATTCTTCACAAGCATTCAAACACAAACAATGGATCAATTGATGCTGTATTTTGCCAAACACACTTTTTGGGGGTTTTGCGCCCCCTTTGGTCTATATAATATACAATTCATATTATTAAATATAAATATAGACATCATATCTGGTGGATGATGTAAGATACAGACTTTGCTTATCCAGTGCCAATGTGATGCATAAAACAGAGATGAAATCTCATGCTGTCCCCTGATAATACTAGTCCCATGTGAATAAGGCTTTATTCCTTTCATGTAATGTGCTGTGTGTCCTGGTGAGCACAGACATTGAGTTTGGACAAGGTTAACAGGCTGCTCGGATCGTCTCTTTCTCTTGCAGACCAGACAGACCGCCACCAAGACCAGCAGGAGCAGCAGCGGAACCACGACAGCTACTGAGGAAACCAGCGGCAACAGAGACACTAGGAGAGAAAGACCTTTGACAGTTAATGGCATTAATAAATCGTCTCTATCCATACACTAACTGCTATCTTGTCAGAGAAGACATGTTTGAGCTTCCTGTGTTAGTTATTTAAGGAAAAACATGAAAAATTCATTGCTCACTTTACCCAAATTTATAGCGCATACAAATGTGGAATCGAGCAGAATAACAGCAAGTTGAGATGTTTTGTGCTCAGTGTGATTTTCACATGGGTTAAAGAGTGTGGGAAATGTGAGACAGAGCATTGTGTGAAAATGTAGAATTGGGTGTAACTTCCTACTTCTACTAATAACAGAAGTTGCTGGACAGAAAACCACGGTTCATATGTACAACATAGCGGAAGGTGCTGAACTACAAACTGACCAACGCTAAAAAAAGATTCTTAAAGAGTCACTGCTAGATCTATCTCTCTGTGTGTGTCTCTGAACTTGAAGAGAGTTTATTTTTTATGGTATAAAGTCATAATAAAATGTTTGCCGTAGCTTTGTGTATGTTAAATGTACGTATTATAGCCTGAACAATACATACAAAGCCCGATCACATAGAGCTTACATTTCTTTCAAACTGATATTGCTATTTGGAAGTGTAATATAACAATATAGTGGATGGGCCAATGAGAATTGTTTGTAAAATGATATCACACAACATAAATCAGCTTGGTCTCAGGACATTTGAGAATTAAACAAATCCACTTGTTGATGCTCTCAAATGAGCTCTAACTGCCGACATATACAAACCATATATCTACCATAATCTACTATTGTCCAACATATATCAGC